GATGAAGAAGTGAGGCTTGTGTTTTATACAACACAGTAATTGGGAAAAGCTTCTCTGGTGTTTGAGCAAAGATCTGAGTGAACTGAGAGAGAGAGAGAGCCACACAGATACCTAAGGAGGAGCATTCCAGGCACAGAGAATAACAAGGCAAGGCCCCTGAGGCAAGAGGATGTTTGGAATGTTCCAGAAACTTACAGGAAAGGAACATGGCTAAATCTCAGAGGATGAGAGGGAGAATGGTAGTAGATAGAATCAGAGAGGGGGATGGAGTCAACAGATCATGGAGGACCTTAGAGACAACAATAAGGACTCTGAATTTGAATTTAAGTGAGATGGAAAGCCATGGAGGGTTTCTGTGATGAGGAATAAGTAAAGTGATTGATTTCTATTTTTATAAACATCACTCTGAGCACTGTACGAAAAACAGACCACTCACGCGCATGTGTGTTTCCACCCAACTCTTCTGTGTGCTCTTTGACAACAGGAACCTAATTGTTAATGCCTCAACAGGCCCTGTCTTCCTGCACCCCAGTGCCCATTCCCTCAACCTGCAACACTGGGACCAAGCTCTGGCCCATCTTTCAGGTCTCCAGGCAGATGCTGCATCCCATGGACAGCTAGCTCCCTTATAAAGGAACTAGATGCTCCACACTGCACACTCTACTTTATACCCTCTTCTATTTTAAGTGTTGATTTCAATGTCTCCCTCCCCATGAGACTCTGAGCTGCCTAAAGAAAAGACCACATCTTTCCAATGTTTCTTTCCTCAGACCCGATTAGGATGCTTGGTGCCTGGTCCTCAATAAATATTTGGTGCCTGAATAAGTAGGTAAATCAACATACTCACACAAGTTAATTCTACCAAATTTCAAGCAAAGCATCAAAGAATATTACTTTGGTCATTCATAATATCCAGAGATGGGAGGCACTAAGCCAACAAATTCATAAAACACTGGCTCGCTCAGGTGTGACTGTGCAGAGGTAGGAGTGAGCCAAATAACAAGATTTCACGGGTATGGTGGACACAGTTTTGACAGTGCCAGCTGTAGAGGTGGGAAAAGAAAATACCAAGGGTGTCTGCCTTTCCCGCTGGGGCTGGGAGAGTCTCTGCTCGAGGGGTCTAAGCAGGAGAGTTTCAGGGAAATGAGAATGATGTCACTTGTGTGTGTGCTGTTGTTGAGGTGGGTGTGGAACAATCAGGTGGAGTTGTAGAAGTGTCTACTAAGGAAAAAAGACAGTTCTAGAGCTCATCAGGGTTCCAGTGTACAATTTCAGTGTGGAAATAAGGAGTCCAGAATGAAAAATAGTAGTTGGTGCTAAAAAATGGGACCAAGAAAGATGTAGAGGATGAGAAAAGCATAGAGGCAAGGATGGAGTTATGCAGAATCCTGACAGGAACCCATGAAGAAGGAGGCAGGGCACCTAGGGATCCAGGCTGGTGGGGCAGCTCGGTGAACTTAGCATATGCTTTACAGCCTTGGGCCCAACACTACTGCTGCAGATAACCAGAAGGAGGAAAAAGAAAGTCCAATGAAATCTGCTTTATCATTAAGGATATGGCTAAAAATTACACACATTGAAAATACTCAAACGCCATTGACCCAAACTTGGTCACATGGGTGCATCTACATGCAATGGACTCTGGGAAATGTAGTCTGTCCCTGGGCTAATATGTATGTGCACAGATAAAACTTGGAGAATTCTAATACAGAAGAAAAGAAGGGGAGATGGATGCTAAGAGACATAATTTGATTTTCAGGTTGCCTTATGTACTTTGCTGATACCTTTCTCACCAAAGCAAAGTGTGTTTTGACTCGCTAAAATGGAAAAAGAATAAGAGGAAATTCTGAAACTTAAAGCTTCAAGTAAAGGGCAGGTGTGGGTGGGATGCTGGTGAAGAGGTAGCTTTGGTGAGGATGTGACAGGTATGCTATGATGAACACAGGCTGGATGACACTGAGGGAAACTCCTACCTCCACCACTTTCCCAGGCAAGTTTCTCAGTGTGAAGTCTTCCTTCACAGGGTCACTGAGAAGCTCATGAGATTCAGAATGTGCAATGCCTAGCAGAGGGCCTGCACCTAGTGAAAACTCAAACTGATACTAATTTCATTTGTTTCTTCCCATTTTTAGAATGCAGAAGAAGGATGTGTCAAGAGAGGAAAAGAAGTTCAAGAAAGAAGGTGGCTGGACACCACAAAACTTGGCCTACTTTACCATGTTGCCTACAACCCTGATGTCTAAGCTTCTACGGAAATCATGCCGCAATGCCAGGTGCACACAAGTGCCTCCCGTGGGGTCTCCAGAGGCAGTTTTAAGGCAAGGAATGTTGGGAAGTGTTCCTCTAGAGCAGCCCTGGCAGGCAGCTGGGTTCCAACACCAGCAGCTGCTGGCTGCGTGCAAAGGCTGGCAAGGAAAGAGTTTCCTTTGTTTCGTTAGAACAACAGCAGCACAGGCATGCTTCTAAAGGTCAGGTAATGCTATATTTATGAGCCACCTGCCTCTGCTCCCCGCTGACGAAGCTGAAAACCACCTGACAGCTCCACCCTCTCAAAAAAACGTGCTGCTCAGAATACGAGATGACATGTCTTTTCATGACAATGAAAGTTTTAATCCTTCGTGGCAAAATTTTCACTCTTGTGTCTTACAAAACTCATGGGAGTTCTCCCCTATGCTGTTCACTTAATCATTAGGCTGAAGTTACCTGGCATGTCTACCAGAACAGATGGTTACCTGGAGAGGCTTCCAGGAGGGAAAAACCTGCCTCCCCTCCATCTCCTTTCCAGCCTCTACCAACTGTTTGGCCAGAGTAAAAGATGCACAAGAGAAGCAGGAGGTCTTGGTGTTGCCTGGAGCTGGGCCAGTAACAATGAGTCCAGGTGAACAATAGAAAGGAGTAACCACACATCCTGGACCACGGATAGAAAGTGAAGCTGGCCCTGACCAATTTGGCTCAGTGGATAGAGCATCGGCCTGCAGATTCAAGGGTACTAGTTTCGATTCCTGTTAAGGGCATGTGTCCTGATTGCAGGCACATACCCAGTAGGGAGTGTGCATGAAGCAGCTGATCGATGTTTCTAACTCTCTATCCCTCTCCCTTTCTCTCTGTAAAAAATTAATAAAAATATATTTTAAAAAAAGAAAAAAAGAAAGTGAAGCTGGCAAGAAGAGACACCTCTCTTGGTTAGTTTTTAAGATCTTAAGTGTGGACAAATCACTGTTATTACTTTAATCATAAATATATTTTTGTTAGTTTATTCAAGTGAAAGTATCTAGGAAAAACTAACATCAGTTCTGTCCTAAAACCAAGGCCATTTCCCACCGAGAGAAGAAATGGTAACAAAAAACTACCTTGCTTCTGTGCAAAACTTTAGAAGGGATTTCTAGTCAGAAATTTGAAATACTATTTCTTTTCCTCTATCAAAAATTTCCAGCGGAGGAGGAAAAACACACATTTAAAACAAAGAGAATTTCTAAATACAGGCCTAATGTTTTGAAAACAACTGCACCAAAATAACTTAAAATGAGTTGGGAAGTAACAACAAAAGCAAAGTCAGAAAAAGTGTTGTCCAAATAGACATAATGTTCCAGAAAATTGGACTACATTTGCATGCTTGGCATCCTTCTGCCTCTGAAACGAGGTACTTTGGATGCTTCTGCAAGGCATCTCTTAGAAGCAACCTGTGCTGGTTTCATTTCCAATGTTTCATATTTATGCTCCACTGCTCACTTCCCACTGTTTACTAAACAGTTTATGATAATCCCACATTTATTACAGTTTTTATCACAGAGCCATTTCACAGCACACATCCCCCACACAGAAGTCCCCATGGCAAAAGAGTCAGAAGCCAATCTTGCAGCTCCGTGATCTCCCCCTGTGCTGCGTTGCTCAATGAAAACAGGGCTAACTACCACTTCCACTCAGACTAGCAGGTCTCAAGGTAGAACAGGCAGCATTTGCTTTAAAGCTAAGAATTTTCAAGAATAAATGGAAATGGACAAAGGGCACCGAAAACAAAGATGGTCCCACCCAATAGCAACATTTCAAATCATCCAAAGTCCATGGATTCAGGTCATCAAAGTGGTGGTTATGCTCAGCTGGTCCAAACACATTGAGTTAGAAACAAGGAAGAAAGTTACATGGATTGCTCCGAAGTTAGGACACTGGGTTTCAGAGTCAGGGACCCCCAAGTCTAATATCAGCAAATTATGTGAACTCAGGCAAATTACTTAACTTGTCTGAAGCTGTTTCTGGAAACCTGAAAAATGCCTATGATCTAGTTCATGTGCTAGCACACTCAACAAATGCTTAGTATGCTGTTGGCACTCAGTGAGCTCAATACATGGAAACTATCATCATCATTATCATCACCATCATCTTCATCATCATCACCACCAAGATCATCATCACACCCCACCATTGCCATCATCATCAAATGTAAGCTCCATGAGGTCAATGATTTTTGTCTATTTTTGGTCAGTGCCTAGCACTTAACTGGCACTCAATAAATATTTGATGATTTGTTAAAAGCATGATACTTTTCAGAATCACGATGCTTTCCCATCCAGTCTACAGTTTTCTAACACCTTTCCAAATGGCATCTCACAGTCTTGGTAAGAGGCCATATTGTACATCTGAAAATAACTGTTGTTCAAAGACCTATATTCTGCTATGTTTTTCATTTTTCACATGGATAGCAGCCGCTATAATCATCTTTAAAATGGAATCAACACATCTGCCTTGACATCTTTTCATTGCTTTGAAGGTGTTATAGCTTTTACTTTGATGTGTCTACAAGGCAAACAATCAAAGAAGATTCTGATGTTTGTGCTTCATTCAAAGTTAAACAACCATGTAGTAAATGATAATAAGTAACTGCCTTTATTTATAATTTCCCCCTCAAAGTAGAAATGCTATCAACTTGAATAAACAACAACAAAAAAAGGCCATGGTACAGGATTTTTGGCCTATTGAGAATTTCCAAAGGCAGCACGAGTTACCTTTGCAGAATGTTCCATGGTAACCACCACCTTGGTTTTGGCACTGGACACCAGATCCATAGCACCTCCCATTCCTTTCACCATCTTCCCCTGCAAAACAGAAACAGAAAATAAGAAGTAATTCCCTAACTTTCATTTCTTTAGTATGAGGCAGAACAAAAGTAACTTGCAAGAATAAGCCACTGGAATAATTAATGGGAGAAAAAAATCATTGACCTTCATTGCTTATTACATGAAGGTTTACAACCTTATTATTCCGTTTTTCTTTCATTTTAAACACATACCCGTCATGCTGAGTCTTTAATTACAGACCCTTTCTAAATCTCTCCCTTGGATATTCTGCAGAATAAAATGCTATTCAGTGGTAGCCTGAGACGCTCATGGTGTTTCCCTAGTAATGATTAATATTAAAGGTGGGTCTGTTTCTAAAATGACATTTGTCTTGCTCTTAGAAAAGCAAACCAAAGCAAAATGAAAAAATAGATTCCTGCTTAGCAAAAACAGAAAACAGGCACAGAGTTCAGGATCCTTTCACCATTACCACTCTATTTTTGTCCATCTGTCCATGTCCTCATTCATTAAACATTTCGCAACTACCTGGTATGTGCCACAGTCTGAATAATTCCCACTCTTTTCTCTTGTGGTTGCAGAGTTTTGGAAAAAGCGAGTGTTTCCAGAGATGATGAAATAAATTTGCATGCTAGTATATAGAGGAGAATGTCTTCTAACATTAAAAACGCCTTAATATTTTTTTTTTTTTAACTCCAAATGCTTTTGCTGACAGTAAACACTTTCAGAGCTCTTGGCTCCATTCCCATAATTTCATAGCTATAAGGAAATTTGGCAACACACTCACCCAGGTTTTAAAACAGTCTCAAATCCCCTGCTTTCAGAATTATTTTAGAGGTCAATGCATCACAGCATGAACGTGAATTACATGTGCAGTATAAAGGGGAGGAACAGGCAGTCGAGAAGTTTTCGTGGTTAGCAGCCACCACTCCATGGGATGGGTAGCAGCTGGGAAGGCGTAAAGAGCAGGAAGCAGGGAAGGAGTGGAAAGTACAAACTGAGTCTTCGGACACATGTAAGTCTGAAGTGAAGCCAAATCCATGCGGAAATGTGTAATTTTATACTTCTATCAGCCACGCCTTCATCCCCAGTCAGCAGCAATTTTACTGTGGTAGGCACCAGGTCATGCTATTTCTGTGGACAACACTGATATCCCATGGAATGACTCATGGATAAGTCAGAGAGGGAAGAAATAAATGCCTAGCATAAACTCCAATACTAAGGAAGTTTGGGATTTTCAAAGCATCAAATGACACAAAAGCAAGTCCATTTTCAAATGTCTCAACCTGCTGTGCTAAGAACATCCAGCCAGTCTCAGCATCCACAGACTATGTCCTAGGGCAGGCTCTAAGAGTGTAAGTGCTAGAAGAATGATGAAGCCAAATAATAATAATAATAATAATAATAATAATAATAATACCTAGAAAACCAAACCAGTGTGTTAAAAGTCTTTGCATTAAAAAAAAAAAAAAAGCATTCCTGAATGTGAATATACCACAGGCAAATTTTGTTCCCTCTGGCACAATGAATATAGATAGAAACTTATGAAAGACTCGGACTCTGGCCAATTTAGGTGAATCTGAATTACACATTTTAAACCATTGTCAATTATTTCAGAAACTAGAGGCCCAGTGCACAAAATTTGTGCAAGGGGAAGGGTGTCCCTCAGCCCAGCCTGCACCCTCTCCAATCTGTGACCCTTTGGGGATGTCCCTGTGGGATCAGGCTGAAAAAGCAGTCGACATCCCTCTCGTAATCCAGGACTGCTGGCTCCTAACTGCTCACCTGCCTGCTTGCCCAACTGCCCCTAATCACTCTGCCTGCCAGCCTGCTTGTCCCCAACTGCCCCCTCCCTGCTGGCCTGATCACTCCCAAATGCCCTCCCCTGCCAACCTGATCACCCCCAAATGTCTTCCCCTGCTGGCCTCATGGCCCCCAACTGCCCTCCCCAGCCAGAGGACCCCACGGCTGGGTGAGGAATGCTTGCCTTGTTGCCACAGCGACAAAGCAAGTATTTTACTAGGCTGCTCACGTTGCCTGCTCTCAGCGGTCACCCCCTGGGACTGGAGGACTCCAGAGGGGCTGAGAGGACTGGGAACCACCATCTTGTGGCTATGGACACTGCCATCTTTTGTGGCAGAATAACAGTCAATTTGCATATTCCCTTTTTATTACATAGGATAGTTATAGAATGCCTACTGGGTGCAAACACAGTGCTGGCAGGAGTATAAGGAACTCTAAAACATGGTGGAAGAAATATTTTGTTTCTTGTTAAAAATAAATTCTTGTTTGACCCAATGTAAATGAACAACCTTCATTACTCAGAGAATCAGGTAATCTGATGTCTCACCTCAAAGCACATGCTACAGATTTCAAAGCACAATTTTCATATTTAAATACTGATTTCCAAGAGGGTAAAACAGTCAAGGTTAGGTACAGAACCTGAGTCTATTCTACTACCCCGTTGACAAAACACCAAATCTCTGACTTTGGGCTCATTATCTATAAGCCAGGAATAAGCATATCTGCCCAGTGGCAGATCTGTTGAGAGGAGTGCATGAGACATATGTATAAAAATTGTGTATTATATAAAGTTTATAAATGTGTTGACATAAATCTTCATCAGTCAAATTAGTTTACTGAATGTCTAATCTGAGCCTGGCCCCATACGAGGTGATGGAGTTAAGAGATTATCAAACCAGGTTTCATAAACCTTATCTGAGGGAAGGAAAGTATCCATGAGTAATTCAAGAGACTTGATCCAATTTCCTTCCCCCAAAAGAAGCACACTCTACCTCTCCCTCACCCACAAGGTAAAACTAAGACCCTTTCCCCCGGGTCCTTGTCCTATTCAGTATGTCATTCTATCACAGTAAATTTCAACTTTTTCTCTTTCCTCTTCTTTTTCATTTTTTACATTGTAAGTGCTTGATGAATGAGTGGATGGACACACAGATTAAACTAACATAGGTATGTTTCCATCTGGCAGAACACAGGAAATGCAGCTATCCGGAAACAGAGATGGAAGAAAGAGGCTGGGGACTTCAGAGAGAGTGATTTACAAAAATAGTCTTCCAGGCAGGAAAGAGAATAGCAGTACCATCTCGTACAAAGCATTTCCAGGAAAAGCCTTCAAATATTTGTTTTTTCTATTACTTTCAGTAGGTTCGTTGTATTGGGAAAAGAAAAGAAAACATTTCCCTCCATTTGGATTCCCAAATGATTTCTGGAACAGAATCAATGTCTAAAGGGAAACAATTCACTCTATTTATACCAGCAGGAAAAAAACAACACAGGGTTGTTGTTTCCATACAAAACCTACATACAACAAATTGGGTAATCTGAAAGAAAATGAATCAATTCCTAGAAACATACAATCTTTCAACACCAAATCAAGAAGAAACAGAAAATCTGAGCAGACCAATTTAAACTAATGAAATTGGAGCAATAATCAAAAACTTCCAATAGACAGAAGTCCCTGACCAGACAGCTTCTCAGGTGAATTTTACTAAACATTTAAAGAGGAACTAACACCTATCCTTCTCAAACTATTCCAAAGTATTCAAGATGAGGGAAGACTCCCAATTTTATTTTATGAGGCCAGTATTATCCTAATTCCAAAACCAGATAAATATAAAAAATAAAATTATAGGCCAATATTCCTGATGAACAAGATGCTAAAATCCTCAACAAAATGTTAGCAAACTGAATTGAGAGATACATTTAAGAGATCATGCCCTCACTGGTTTGGCTCAGTGGATAGAGTGTCGGCCTTCAGATTCAAGGGTCCCAGGTTCGATTCCAGTCAAGGGCATGTACCTTGGTTGTGGGCACATCCCAAATAGGAGGTGTGCAGGAGGCAGCTGATTGATGTTTCTCTCTCATCGATGTTTCTAACTCTCTATCCTTCTCCCTTCCTATCTGTAAAAAAATCAATAAAATATATTAAAATAAAATAAAAAATAAATAATAAAAAGATTATACACCATGATTAAATGTGATTTATTCCTGGGATACAAGGTTGGCATAATATCCACAAATCAATTAATGTGAAACATCACATAAACAAAATGAAGGATAAAAATCATATAATCATATCAATAGATTCAGAAAAAGCTTTTGACAAATCTAGCATCCATTTATGATAAAAACTCTCAGAAAAGTGGAAATAGAGGGAACATTTTAAAGGCCACAAGTGACATACCCATATCTAACATCATATTCATAAAAGCAAGATCGAGAACAAGACAGGGATGTCTGCATTCACCACTCTTATTGAACATAGTACACAGGAATCAGATAAGTAGTAAAAGGCATTGGAATAGAAAAGAAAGAAGTAAAACTGTCATTATTTGCAGATGATATGATTACTATGTAGAGAGAACCCTAAAAATTCTACCAAAAAACTACTGGAACTGATATTCACTAAAGTAGGAGGATACAAAAATATCCTGGAATTGGTTGCTTTTGTTGTTGTTATTGGTGTTGTGTTAATCTTCACCTGAGGATATTTTTTCATTGATTTTTAGAGAAGAGTGGAAGGGACAGGGAAAGACAGAGAGAGAGAAACATCGATGTGAGAGAGATACATGGATCGGTTGCCTCCTACCTTCAAACAAGTATGAGCCCTTGACTGGAATTGAAAACAGTACCCTTCACTCCATAGGCTGATGCTCTATCTACTCAGCCAAACTGGCTGGGGCTCGGTTGAATTTTTGTTGATATATATATATATATTTGTTGTTGTTGTTGTTGTCATATATATATGATTTTTTACAGAGAAGAAGGGAGAGTAATAGAGAGTTAGAAACATTGATGAGAGAGAAACATTAATCAGCTGCCTCCTGCACATCCCCTACTGGTATGTGCCTGCAACCAAGATACATGCCCTTGACTGGAATAGAACCTGACCCTTGAGTCTGCAGGCCAATGCTCTATCCACTGACCCAAACCAGTTAGGGCTCGGTTGAATTTTTATATACCAAAATGAATTATCAGAAAAGGAAACTAAAAAAAAAAAA